CGCCCTATCGAACAACTGCAGACCAACTTCCTTACTAAGTCACTATTACGTGCTGTTTTTGAGTCAAAACATAACTCTTTCATTGATTACTTTCAATTCTCAAATTTTGCGGGAAAAGCTTTACATCAGGTAGTAGGAATAGGCCGAGTAAGTTTTTACGTTTTCGGTAACTTGTAATATTTACAAGTTTACGCGGCGTACACAAAAGCATCACTAATATCATCTTCATAGTTTCTAATTTTAGCTTCTTTATAGTTTACTTAAGAATTTTATATTACCTTGGAGAGTGCTTAGAATCACTAGAGGTTGACCCTGAATTCTTTCTGAAGCTAATGAGTAACGTGATTTAAGAATCTCAGACAAAGCCAATTTAATTAAGTCGTTGTTCACGCATCCCTGCGTAATGCAACCATAAGGTATTAGAGAGTATTAAATGTTACAATGTTGACTTATATAAGTCACAATCACCGTCAATGGATATTATACCTCTTTATGAAATATAATTTTAAAGAAAGATTTAACTTTTTCTTTCAAGTAAATTTCTGTCCACTATGTGTAATAATTTTATTTCCGAAACAAATATTTCATTTCAAAAGTCATAAGATTTTTATCTTAAATTTGATTATTTCCCGTATGGTTAGAAGTAACCGATACCGTTTGATGTCCGGTCAGTACCGCAAATCATAAAAATTACATTAATGAAATACTCCACATGCTTGAATTCAACTCGAAATCCCTCACGTGTCTAATTGACAAATGCTTACTGCAGAGAAGTCAACAAAAGAAAACCGTACAGAGATTTACTGTCTGGGGTTCGTTCCTCCATTTTGTTTTTGTTCAAACTTCGGCTTTCTCTGACATAATTATCGATATCCGGGAAGACCGATTCGGAAATTTATTATTAACAGAGAAAGATAAAAAAGATAATTACTGTCGGTGGTTTATTATAACCATTAAGAATTAAAATGTGTATAAAAGAACAAATATCATAAGAATGAAATCAATGATCAGTAAAAATAAATGCAAATTACAGATTTTTAAGCTATGCAAATTACTCAAAGTCAGTGGATGAAGGTGACTGAGGACTGTGTTGACGGCAGTTTCTGAGTTGCTTATGATTATGTAAAATTAATAAGATGATGTAAATGATGTTCTTAATTGAATCGCAGTTTAAATTTTATTTTTCAACCGCTTAGCTAACTGTGTCGTAGGTTCTACCTGCGAACCCCAGGCCAACGTCAATATTAGCACAATGTATTTGGTAAATTATATAAGTATTATTGATATTTATGTATGTATGAAAAGCATTCGTATGATAGCGGTGTGAAGAATCCATCACCAATTTTCGTCCTGTGGGTGTCATGTAAAAAGGTGACTATAGAACATTTTCCATTGTCAACTTTTTACGAAATATTTTAACATGGTCGTCGATGGCTGACGGTACAACTATCTCTTTAAATTGGGCATATTGTTGATGTCCATGGGGCACAACACTTATCATCAGGTGGACTGTATATTCGTTTATCACCTTTATTCTATAAAAAAATAGCTAGGGAGGACATTAGCAGTGGACTTTACGGACTAATTAGTAACAACAGAACGAGTGATATCTTTGTACATTCAATACTGTAGTATCTCAATATTTAGATACGTCTAAATATTCCTCTCGATGTTCGCGCTAAAATTACGTCACTGCAATGTATATAGCAAGGATTAGTACTGCTTGTTGTATGTTTGTAATACAAAATCGCCGTTAACGAGTTTGACTAAAATGAATTATTTTAGCGTTGTACCACAAAAATAAAAACGAAACCCTTATACTCGTAGAATCACTTCGTTGTCTGTGCGTCAGTTCATCCGTCCGTCTGTCAAGACTACTGTCTTATTTCAAAGTCGTAGTCGTCCCATAATCGTAGTCTACAGTCCCTTGGATGTGTAAAAAATTAAACCTTATTATGTTTATTACACGGTACTTCCTGTTGACCTAGAATAATAAAACTAACAATTTTTTTTAATTATATCACATAAAAAATATTTGTTTTGCGATTACAAACTTTCATTTGCAGTGGGAACATCGACCGTAATATGAACCGATATAAGCGAAAAAGTCTTTTTTCCACAGAGCAGTGCAAAGTTCAAATCAGTCTACGTCTTCCGGTGCGCGATTGATCAATGATCATACAGAACCTTTATCACAACGACTGTCAGTTTTATGAGCTGAATATAGCAATACCTGTACTATATTTTAATAAAATATTACATATTTTACTAAATATAAAAAAGTTAATTTATTTACTGGAATACTTTTCTGTTTTATTTAATTATTGTAATATATAATTTGCAGAAATTTGCATCACCTACTATGTGAAGACTTTAAATGATAATCACCCCACTTCGTCCCGTGGGACAGAGTGTACTACGGGTTATTCCAGAAAAACCTCATGACGTCCGAATTGTGGCAGGCGGTATAACAATCTTATTATAGGTATAATTTATCCCAGACGCGGAATCGACCAGCAACAGAGAGCAGTAACAAAGTTCTGAGACATCGGATCTGCGATCGCCATATCACCAACCAAGCAAATCCTTGCAATAACGTGAAGCCTAATAATTAGTTGTAAAGGCAAATCACTTGAGGTCAATGCTCTTTGTCGACATGGGCTCGGAGATCTAGACCTGGTCTTATTTTTAATAATAATGTCCTTCAGACCGAATTTCGTCCACGGCGGCCAGCCTCAACGGAGGCTAGCCATCGCCGCAGGACAGGATTATAGTGCCCAAGTGTATGCGCAAGCACAGGTGCATTCTCTATTCCCTCACTCTTATAATTCGATGGGACGGTAAACCGACACGACTGGAGAGAGATCAGGCGCAGGACCAACGGCTTTACGTGATTTTTGAGACACGGGGGTGAGACACCGCCAACTTCCTCACTCCGGGCAGCTACTGAAAATTTCTCGACAGACTCAATAATTGATTTTTGGCCCGACGCGGGATTCGAACCCAGGACCTCATGATTAGCAGTCGCACTACTACAACAACTAGACCAACGAGACGGGCAAACGTGAGGCCTACGAGTATATCCACTTGAAGAAGAAGTATTTTGTATAAGTACCTATGCTGTTTATTTGTAACAACTGTTTATATACCACAGCATCCACTTACCATCAGATGGACTTTGCGATCGTTTTTCACCCTCTGTGTTGGATTGCACTGCAATCATTGCTGAATTTTTCATTTATGGACCCCACATTTACTAAAGCTGGGTATATTCCGCTGACTACACTAAAGAAGAAACAAGTATGGTAGTTCGATCATCGTAAATATGTGGGTATGTATGGTATATATCTCTATGTGCCAATGTTTTACGCCTTTATTGTAAAACCGTATTGGATTGTATCGATCATATACTTGGCAGTCACTCTGAAGCCTATTATGGCTGTAGCACAAATGGGTTTCTTGATTAGAGAATGGTCACATTCATCCGGAATACCAGTGTAAAATGTTTTCGTGTGGTTAGTAGTTAAAATCGGTGGCCTGTATACTGGTGACGTGACGCTGCAATTCGTGTTAGTCCTTATGTGTGACAATTGCAACGCAACGGATTTTGATTTTTAGTCGATGATGGATTTTGGTGCCTATCTACTTACCACCTATTGCACAGTCCGTTAAACTGTGGGATTTTTATGAAGAAATAAAAATATACCGTCATTAGCTTCTAGTGCAAGTGCTTTTTTTGTGGTGAACTCTCAAATAAATTTTTATTGACATTTTTTCTTGCATCTACGTTTTGAAAATGTGTAAAGATATAAAGTTTGAAATTTTGAACAATATTTTTTCAGTCATACTACTGCTGGAAGTCAAGAATTAAAGATATTCTAATTTGAACAAGATTTACATCCGACTAGGCTGTATGGTATAAGAACTTTGCCAGCCTTAATTGGCGAATCGTTACAACTACAACAACTAGTCAATTTAGCAATTTAGTTTTATATTTACGTAGGTATGTTGATATTTTCCAGACTTCAGTAGACCATAAGCTTGATTAGATAGAACATTGTAAATTATTTTATTGATATCTGTAACAGTGACACAAGTAGACGCTTAATAATTCCATCGACTATTTTTCGTCATTGTCCTTTCAGCAGTGTAAGTTAGAGCCGTAAATATTTTTTTAATTTGTGACGTGAAATAAAAAACAAAGGTTAGATAATTTTAATTTATTTTGTAGGTACGTATGTAAATTCTCTACTATATTTTACAATAAAATATGTTCATTCAGGTAATAAATAGTACAGTGTCTTAAGAAGCTTAACAATAAATTATTTACAGTTGTCCTAAGGTTATATCGTTACATAATGGTGGATCATTGTAACGAGATCATTTATTTAATAATTAATTTAATAGTAAAATTAAAAAAAAAAAACAGATTCATTAATTCACCTATAACTGATATTTTATTAATTTGTTTACATCCCTGCCTTCCGTCACAATGGACGGTGTAGGAACTTTTTAAAATTTCCTTCAAAAATTTATTTCAAAGGACCGTGCTTTTGCTTCTATTGTAATACTTTGGTAATAGATTAAAGACCATTACATACCTAAAACATGTTTTACCACTACCAAAAATATCAATTAAATTGTTATAAATATGTGAGTATATATAATTATATAATCCAATGGTTTTGTTTTCAACGCGTATTATTATAGGAAATATTTTTTTATTAACAATTCTTAAAAAAAATTAACAGCTTCAATACAATAGCAAAAATTGTAAATATAGTGATGTCGTTTGTGCATTACATAATTTGCTACTCGTTCGTCTCAATTACAATAATCAACAGCTTAATTATCTATAATATATTTACATAAATTTACAAGCTAACGGGAGTATTAACACCCTAGGACAAAATTTACATAATTATTATATTTGGTGCTTCAACGTTCGATAAGAATGATTTTAGTCGAGCACGTAAACATAAATTTTATAAGTTGAAACATCAACGATCGTGCTTAGTTAGTTGTAAAGGCAAATCACTTGAGGTCAATGCTCTTTGTCGACATGGGCTCGGAGATCTAGACCTGGTCTTATTTTTCTGCCTGTCGCCATCGTCGTCGCTCTCGTCGTGAACATTTATCTCTTCGTCGGAATCAGAATGAGATTCGTAGCCTCGAGCCAGTTGGATTGATTGGGCAGCAAGAAGTGCTGCAGCGGCTGAATGTGGTACGAGCGCCTTGAATGCGCTGTTCTCTAACGCGGGATGGGGCTTAAATGGACCGCCTTCAAAGGGTGTTTGCGACAATGCTTTCAGTGCGTTGCTTTCTAATTGCGCTTGATGGGATAAAGCTTTCAAGGCATTTGTATCTTGATGCGATAAAGCTTTAAAAGCGCTATTTTCGCCACCCATCTGAGGAGTGTGGTAAGGGCCTCGTGCAGGGGACAAGGAACGTGAGCGGGATCGGGAGGGGAATGGGGAAGGCGGTGCGAGGGCGAGCCGCCACCGCGCTTGAGAAGGTTCATGCGCTGGTGGCATCTCCACTTGGCTCGTCTGTTGGAAAACCAAACCTGTCAGTAACGGTAAACAAGCGTGATTAGTACTCTGTTCTCGCTGCGTTAACAAATTCATATATGTAAATGGAAATGAAATGATATCTCTGATTCGATTAAGCAAAATACTTGTTTAATTTTTAATTTCACGTTATATTAATCTGTTTCTGAGACTACAAATATTATATAATGACTCATAATTTCTTAAAGTACGTTCATAAATAAGTTTTTACCTGTACACGGGCTTCCGATAGCGATGTTTTTGAAGCTAATCGTTCTCTAGTCGAGACACACGGGTAGTGAGATTTTTCAAATTCTTTCTCAAGTTCTTCAAGTTGATCTGGACTAAACGTGGTTCAGTTCCTTCGGAATTTCGGTTGCTCTCCATCTAGCGACCCAGAATCGTCGCCATCAATTTCTGTTGAAGAAAATTGTATCTTTAGTTATTTTATGTATAAAATACTAAATTATAAAGGATCATGTAAACATTAAATCAGACTTCAAATTTTTTATAGAAAATATCATGGAGTAGTGTTCGCTAATTTATATTATGCTACGTAAGTTGGCAAATCTTGATATTATATATAATAATACATAAAATTTTCTAAGGGAAATATGCAAGCAATATTACGAGTAAATAATAAAGTCTTTAACATAATTAATAATGTTCTTCAGACCAAATTTTGGTCACAGTGGCTAGGTTTAATGGAGAATAAAGACAGCATCTGCACGTGACAGGATTATAGTGCACGAGAGTATTCTATTGTTATTTATTCCCTCTTTCTCATTGTCTGATGGGACGATAATACGACACGCCGGTAATGATATAAGGCGCAGGACCAAAAACTTTACATAATTTTTTTAATTGAGTGAATTCTTACCCACTAGACCACGCCCAGACGAAGATAGGAATCCTTGTTGAATAGCATCAGAATGTTGCATTCCTACGGCTGGAGGTGGAACACCCGGAGGTAATGGTAGTCCTCCGGGTGGCCACACCCCACCACCTCCACCCCAAGGAAATCCTCCATAAGGAGGTGGCGCTGCGTACAGCCCGTAGCCTGCAGCCCTCGCGAATTCTGCTGCAGCTCGTTCCGCAGCTCTGTTTCTTAGTATTCTGTTGATTGATGATACGCTGGGTGCAGTTGCGTTTGTACATACACCTGTAGAATATAGTTATAAATTTAAAACTTTGACTTGTTTATGCCTTTCACTTGTAGTAAATAGTGGGCCTTTAATTTGTTTATTTACCAGTGATTTACTAATCGCAGTATTTAACATCTCATTAGGTTAAAAAGAAAATTACTTTTTTATAGGAAAGTGATTCAGTTCCTTTGCAAATGGTTACTGGATTTATTTTACTTATGAGTGTAAGTGTTTATGCACGTCCTTAGTTTTCAGTTCACAAATAAAATCCAGTGGATTCAGTTTATATTGTATATATATCTAAACTGGATTGATTCAGTTTAAATTTTGTTCTCTGTATAGTATCACATAAAGTTTTATAATATCTCGTAACCATCGTTATATGGATTGAAGTAAAAATGCCAAAGAAGCACACAATCTAGTTCAGTGTATACTGTACACCAAAGGCACCTTCAACTTTTCTTCATTAAAAATAAATAAACCGGACAAGTTTGAGTAGGACTCGCGCACTGAGGATTCCGTATAAACTTATTGAGATCGTTCATGCATATCTGGAATCCGAGTGTATATATAATACCGATAAATCGATATTTAACAAGTTTCAGTATTTTTTATTTACTTGTGCTATCATAACTTGCTTTTGACAAATTTAGTGATGAGTGAGGGCGAGTATCAAAATACATATCAAAAATCGTTCTATCTTTTAGTTGTATTACCTCAGAAGCTATTTATTTCACACCTATAAGAGACCGAAATGTTTGACTTCCATTCCATCTGATGGTACATAGTGATGAAGCCGAAGATGTTAAAGCGCACTGATTTAGCTAACAAAAGCCTATTAAGAGGATAGAGTAAGTCAGCTCAAATTCTAATCTCGCCCCCACTTCGCCGCGCGTCGTATGCTATGTACCGATATGTTTGTAATCACTAATACTGTAAGTAGAAAGGTCGTTAGACACTTATTTCATTAGGTTTATCATATTTATGCCTGTTTCTTAACGCCAAGCCAGCCGCTTCTTATTTTTATCACGGTTATTTCCCATTTTAATTTTACGTCTTACTGTTGCGTAATGTATATTCTGATCGTAAGCGACACAACTTCTCCCTTCAAAAGCCTAAGTGATACTAACGGTGCTACAGGAATCAAGCTCAAGACGCCGATAGTTTAAGTAATTTCTTTTTACAGTGAAAATAACGGTATTTAAAAAAAGTAAATAACATAAGCACTGCTTTATAGTTAGTTCAGTTAGTATGCAAAGTTTCATGATCTTATTTAAAGTATTTTATGAATAACAGCGGTTTATTGTTTATTTTGGCGGTAACTTTGGATTTTTTTTCTATCGAGAAAATTTTACGAAATCGTGTTTTCGTCTAACATAATCATTAACATTAATCCTCAACTTTACCATATATTTATTTCAAAATTAATGTTGCAATATTTTCGGCATAACGAAGGATCTTGCTAAGCCATTTGACATTATATTTCCCCTTAACTACAATCTTATGTCTAACAATATATTAATTCAATTGTAACTGCAGTAAATAATTTTTTCGTATTTGTTTAGAATAATATTAGATTTTTAACGTTATATAATGATGTAATTGCTATAATTACTTTAATATAATGAGAGTTGTTAACTTTTGACTTTATGTTATAATAATTTGTTGTCAGTACTAAGTTCATTTCAATTTGCTACCCGATCTTGAAACCTAAGGTTATATACATCGACTTTTACAAGTACACGAACGATACATAATTATGGTAGTTGGTGATATTTCTTAAGCAAAGTACAGATAATTGTAATGTGCGCATAAAATGAGTGACCAGCAGCGCGTTAAAACCGATGCGTCATTCATTGGTCGCGTTTTAAAATCGCCATTATGTCTAATAAAGCCTCTGTTACACTTGCGCATTATTTCTTTTACAAATTTGTTTTTAAAAATCAATTCTTACATTTACGCGATTTCCGTAAAATTAGTTTCATTTAATGTGTACACTACACAATACAAGAAATTAATTTTACGGAATTTATCACGTTTAATTTACGAAACGTCGGGAAACAAAAAGAAAAATACTTAAAAAAAACTGTAGGTACTCCGGGTTAAAACACTGACATCGGGACGTTAATCGCCTCAATCTTCCGTGACCATGGGTGCTGAAAAGCACCCGAAAAGTCGGAAATTAAAAAGTTGAATTAAACAGGATAAAATCCGTAAAAATAGTTTCATTTAATTTATCTTTAAAAAGTATTATAAATATAATGTATGCTTGTGACTGTTCACTTGGTGAAAGTTCATTTATTTTTGTGTTTTGGATAAACGCTCAAGTATAATTATACAAGTGTAGTATGTATCATGAAGTTTATTTATCATAAAATAAATTTTATTTCATAATGGTGCCTTCAAACTGAAAGTTTATTTAAATAACCTTTTTTAAGTTTATCAGTATTAAATAAGTATTAAATAGTAAGTATGATATTAATATGTGCATAAGTTACATTAATTTCGCTGGTTAATGTTGTATTGCAATTGCTTATTTTCTTATTTTTTAGTAGTTTTTCTCTTGGAATTGTAAAGTAAAACAATATAAAATACATGTTTAATACTAGTGATAAATAAAAGAAAAAAAATATTTAAAAAACAGATTATTATAAGTTTCACTGTATAGAAAATTATAAATTGGTTTACAAAGTAAGATATCGAAAATCTGTTATTGTCATTGCTTGTAGTGTAGTGAAAAATTTAGATAATTTACCAGCCCCTTTTGGCCGTTCGTATAGTGGTATCGTGGGTAAGAGACGAGAATAGGAATGGCAATAGAAACTCCTGACTAGTTCATGAGTTTTAGTAGCCATACCTACACTGATATGGTGGTATCGCTAACCTGTGTATGCTAACCAGAATGGCAAGGGTGTGCGCCATCTTCCAAGCATGGCAATGCGTCCATACAAAAGTCATGTGGTCAAACTGTTAGGGACCGATGATGATGATGATGTAGTGGCGAAGTAAGAATAATATTCTACTCCATATCGTCCCGTGGGTGTCGTAAGAGGCGACAGAGGGACAACACACAGAAGTCCAATCAACCACGAGACGGGCAACAGCTTATTTATATTAAAAATTAAATAACTGCTTTTGCCAATCCGCTTGCAAGCGTGGCAACCATGGCAAATATTCCCCCTATGAAGCAATCTATGGGGAGGCTTATGTTCAGCAGTGGACTTTTGAAGGAAAGGCTGTATGTGGTGCTAATGGCGATGATGATGATGGTGATAAATGTAGTTTTATTATTACAAACATAATTGTTACAAATTTTATTTTTAAATTTAAAATAGTCAATAGTTATCAATTCAGTTAACCTACTTAAGGGGTCTGTTGGCCCTTGATCGTTTTCAAAGTTAAAGGTCGGCCATTAAGATAACATATTAATGTTTTATTGTATAATTTGTTTCTTTTCCATGTCTAGTATAAAATTAGTATGGAAATCAGACGCTGTATCAGTAACAGTTCACCAGTTTTTTTTCTATGATGCCTGTTTTTGCCGTTAGAAGCATGTTCACTCGATTATCGCTAGTTCGTTATCACCCTAATGCGTGCTGAGGTATTGCGTGCCAGTGCAGCCTTGCGAGAGATATCCCATGTAATTTTCAGGAAACATACGAAGTAAATGCAATAATTTAATCATAGCCTGTACGTTTGTAATTGTCGTAGAATTCGTTGTTTAGCTTACTGAACAGTGCGTTGCATGGACATTCCGGTAATACTTAAATAGCCCCTGCATGATTTCCCCATTTAACTACTGCGCTGTAGATATATTCATCTTAACATGTTTTCAAAATATCCGTTATATCCGTTAATCCATTACGTGTCACGTTGTTTGTCCGCGATGGACTTCTAAACTACTTAACCATTTTAGTCAAATTTGCATTTTAGGCACACCGTGAGCAGTTTGGTCCAACTTGAGAGATAGGATAGTTTTTATGCCTTGAGTGACCCACAATTCTTTTTTGCGAATTTAAGGATATTTAATAGGACATGACATAGGGTCATCGAAAACGGCAGAACAACGTCTGGCTAGCAAGCTAGTATATATATGTTTGATGTTGGTTGCAAATTTCCATGGGCTGCCGTTGCAAAAAATGGGAAACGATGGATGTAGACATACGAGTAGTATATATTATCAATCATATATTATTAAACAAAAGCTACTCTTCACCTTAGGAACGTTTCCCCTTTCATTTCATGTATTTATTCATAAGCATTATTTGTAGGAACAATTATTTATAGGCCGAAAAAAGTGTTATCCTGTTATTCTGAAAGTGAAGTAAATTTAAGTTTTGGTTTTACAGATACTATACTATTCAATTTAAAGAAAAATTGGAACAGCTTTTACGAGTTTAGTAATAATTCTAAATCACTGCCTTAAAATAAAATTATTGACGCTAAATACTACGTCCTTTAGTTTTGCAAAGTTTAAACCAATTTGCTTTTATTTACTCAAAGTAGATCTATTTCGCTATTTATTACTTACTTATACCAGCTTGTGTTTTCTAGTTCTAGCAATTATATCGAGGGACAACAATTCAATGTAATTGCTTAATAGGAGACAATGTGTATGTATGTAAAAGATGGCGTAAATTGACTTACGGAAATTGAGTGGTGTTATTGAAAAATAAATGAACTGAGCCATTTTACAATCACGCAAAATAATATGAAGTGGCAAGTATAAATGAGAAATGAGGACACAGTATAACTGATGGTGTGGCACATAGATATCTTCAAATAAGAATCAAAATGCAGATGCGTTGTCAGCCCTGAGGATTAAGATGGAATGCCTCGTTTCTAGTAAAAAGTGTCTGAGGCTAATCTAAAGCCTATGTTCAACAGTTGACTTTTGATAAATTGTAATGAGTATTGTGATAAATGATAAACCAATGTTTAAATTTTAGAGTCGCGCCATAAAAGTAAATTGCTTTTTTTATAGAGGATAAGGATGACAAACGAACACACAGTACAG